ATATTGTAATATATTGCAGGTGTCATTGGAAGATTTTGGAGGAGATGGTATTGATTACAGTTCCGCTTTCAATGCAAAAAGTACGACAGTTCTGAATGGTTTCGATTTGACTATTTCGAAACACACAAAAGGAGAAAGGTTGAAAATCTTGAAGTGCAAATGAGGCGAACGTTATAGAGGCAAGAGGAAGGTAGATGTTGCTTCTAGAAAATCGAAAACCAACAAGTGCCAGTGCCCTTTTGAGATAAGAGTAAAGAGGGTGCCCGGAACGCAATTTTGGATGATCCACAAGTGTCAAAACGAAGAGAAGGGCTTCCACAATCATTCATTTGTTGTGTATCCCGAGGGCCATCGACAGTCGAGCGACATCAGCCAGTCATCAAAGAAGATTATTCGTGATATGACTGCTGCGCAGGCGAGACCAGCAAATATTTTGGTCGTTGTCCAAGAAAAAAATCCAGGAGATCACGCGACTGTGCGACATATATATAACTGTATAGACATGTTGCGCAAGGAGAATTTTGAGAGTAGAGACGTTACTACCCAACTTCTACATTTGGCTAGGAGCAGCAGCTATATAGTTTATACAGATGTCGATCCGGACACAAATTCCTTGACACACATATTCATGGCCCATCCTGATTCAGTCAGACTATTCCGGACATATTATTTGTATGTCGGCATAGATTCCACCTACAAAACCAACAGGTGTGTTAATTTATAAATATGTTATTAGTATGAATATAAATTAATATGTTCGATTAAATTTCATGAGATTATATTTTTTGGTCTCATTTGCACAGGTACAAGATGCCGTTGGTCGAGATGATTGGCATGACTCCGTGCAACAATAACTTCTTGATTACGTACGCACTCATGAAGGACGAGAAAGAGGCCAGTTATGATTGGGTTCTCCATAAGCTGAGACTTCTGACAGGCTCTTAGGTAAGAATAAAATATTTAATTTTTATTTAATTAGTAATAAAATTATTTTGTGCAATATAGTAAAAATATTTCAGCAATTTTTGCTCTGTCTCATTAATATTTCTGTATCCGCCGTTGCTCAGGTACATCCAAATGTGGTTGTCACTGACAGAGAGTTGGGCTTAATGACTCCTATTAGGAGGAACTTTCCCCAGTCTGCCCACTTACTCTGCACGTGGCACATCAACAAGGATGTGGAAGACAGACTCTACATGCTGCTTGGAAAAAATAAAAAATTAGCTCAGAGTTTCTTGCGCGGTAGGTGGAAGGCGATTGTCGATGCCGGTATGGTTGATGAGTACGACACGATTGTAGCTCAATTGCGTATCAAATACCAGAATCATGTAGAAGTGTTAGATTATGTCGAGCGGACTTGGTTAGTCCACAAGGAGAAGTTCGTGAAAGCTTGGACTAACCGGGTAACACATCTTGGCAACACAACTTCATGTAGGGTGGAGAGTGCACACTCTGTGTTGAAGCGGTGGCTTCACACGTTGACCGGCGCGCTCGATACACAGTGGCAGAAGATTGATGCGGAGATCCAGTCCCAAATGACTGGAATAAGGTACATTCCTTATTTTTAACTGTATTAGATCGTTTCATATATATTAGAATTCTTGGTATTTCGTTTTATTTATAAAAATAAATATAATGTTTTGTAATATATTACCAGGAACACGCTTGAGTCTGCGAGACTTAGGAGGTATACGGGATTTACGGGATTCCCTTTTGCGTGCTTGACACTGAGGGTCTCGCATTACTGTCTGGACATATTGAACTCTGAGCTGACAAGGATGCAAGACTTGAGCTATGAAGTTTACGAGCATTGCGGTTGTGTATTGCTTACCACTCATGGAATTCCTTGTGCTTGTACGCTTCGTACGACATTTGATTCTGACCTTTCGGTTGAATTGAGTGATATCCACGAGTTCTGGAAGACACTAGAGATGTTACAGCCAAGTAATTTAAGGTTAATGTTTCATTTACAATTTTCTACTTTCTAATTCATTGTTAATTACAAATTAAAGTACATTACGTTGTTAAATTCATTGAATTTTTTTTCCGTACACACTTGTAGGGACAGATCGCCAGAGGCAGGATAACCAGAGTACATGGACAGATGTTGATGTATTTCGGACGTTTGTCCAAGAGATTGAAGAGGGCGATCCTGCGATGATTCGCTACATGAATCACCTCATGTACGCTCAGCTTTACCCGGAGCAACAAACTTATGCAGAGCCTGAGATTAAGGAAAATGCGCGAGGTCGTCCCAAGAAAACCGATTTGACTAAGCGTAAACCATCGCGCTGGGAGTACAGGGATAATTCGAGAGGTCGTTCGGTGGGCCGTACAAGTACTTCTTCGCGCGGACTGACAAACACTTCTTTGCGTGGAACGACAAACAATTCTTCGCGTGGACCCACAAGCAGCCAGTCTTCTCAACCGTCACAAGAGGCACCATAAAGTGACATATATTTTTTTTTTTACAATTGAACGTTAATTA